AAAAAAAAAAAAAAAAATAGCTGGGCAGGGTTGTGGGTGCCTGTAATCCCAGCTACTGGGGAGGCTGAGGCAGGAGAATCACTTCAACCCAGGAGGCAGAGGTTGCAATGAGCCAAGAAGCACCATTGCACTCCAGCCTGGGTGACAAGAGCGAAACTCTGTCTCAAAAAAAGAAAAAAGAAATGCAGCTTTGGTTAGGAGGTCCCTCCCCGTAGAGTCCACTCTGTACGCTGTCACCAGGAGGCGGCGCTCTTGGGCCCCTCAAGACTCCTGGGAGCCTTCCTGGAGCACCTTTTGAAGCAGTGAGAATTGAGAACCCCCCTCTGTTCCTCCAGCTGCTGCTGCTGCTGCTCCTCCTCCTCCTCCTCCTCCTCCTCCTCCTCCTCCTCCTCCTCCTCCTCTTCTCTGAAAAAGCTTCAGTCCTGCTCAGACTCAGCGTTGGGATAATGATCAAGGAAAATTGTTAGCTGAAGTCTTAGATGGACTCCCAAGTGAGCACTGGTAGTTCAGAGAACCGGAACCCTCGGGGCCAGGTTTTTTGGGGATCCCCTGAGGGAAGGGATCGATAGTCCCATCCCTAGCACAAAGGCCACCCTGGATCCGCGGTTTCTAAATCTAAGCAAGCCTCAGAATCACCTGGTGAGATCCAGTGCGGGGTGGGTACACACATCCACTCCCACACTCCTGAACCTGCAGGCCTGGGGTGGGCCTGAGACTGCATTTCTGACCAGAGCCCGGGTGATTCTGCTGCTGCTGGCCTGGGCCCCACACTCCGGAATTGCTGCACCTGATAAAGGTTATGAATAAATGAAGGCATGAGTGAGTGAACGCAGGTCTAGCCCGCCCTCCTCAGGTTAGACAGGATGAAAAGGCAGCACCAGCCCTGGGGCAGGCCCTGGGCAGAGGAGGGAGGAGACACAGACACTCCAGGCTCGATCCCAGTGGGGCCTGGCCAGCCCCTTCTCAGAGCGCTGCCTGCGTATGCTAACAAGCCCTTTCTTTCCAGACTGCGGGGAGCACGCCCAGATCCTCTCCTCTGCACTGACGTCCAGCCTGTGTCAAAGGCAGGGGCTTCCTTTTTTCAATCTCAGCCTTTTCTTGTGTCCCGGGAGGGAACAGGAGCAGTTGTAGGTTCCTGTAACCGACAAGTCTGCTCGCGACGCGGTCCTGGGCTCCCCATCTTTACAAAGGGCGGGTTCGTCTCCCACAACCGGATCCTAAGAGCGAATAGCCATGCCTGTGGCTTCGGACCTAGGCGCTGCAAACGCCTGGGGCGGGGCGGGGGGACTCTCTGGAGAAAGAAACAGCAGGAATTACTCTGCCCCCAGCCCCTGGCCCGCAGAGGACCGGAGTGAGGGTCCCGGGTTCCCCAGGCCAGCATCACGGATGGGGCAGGGCACCGCGTCCCGACCCCTGCTCCGGCTCCCACCAGGAGGGATGTCAAGGCGAGGGAGGACTCCCGGGGTGCAGCCCAGTCCGTCCGCGGGCTTCTTTGGGACCAGCGGCCTCCCCTCCCCCACGCCCGCCGTCCGAGGGGCGCGAGCCACCGCCGCGGCGCGGGGCTGCAGGAGCATCTGTTGCCATGGCTACGCGCGGCGCGGCGCTCGCCCCCGCGGCCGGGGGATCCCGCGCTCCCACCGCAGTCCGCGAGGCCCGGAGCCGGGGCTCGGGCGGGACCGGGACACGCGCGCCCCGCACACACGCCGCACACTCTGCACCCGGCACGCTCGTGCGCTTGCCACCCATCCCCCACCCAGACACAGACTCAGGACACACAACGCTCGCACCCGACACCGCGTGCCCCGCCCACACCACGCCCAGCCTCTCACGCGCCCGAACGACACGCTTCGCACACACCGCCGGACGCGCCGCGGCCCTGTACTCGCCACATCACGCACGCACCCCACGGACCCACTCGGGACCCCGACGCGGGCGGACAAGCCGCGGGAACGGCCCTCGGGGCAGCCGGAGCGCGCAGGGCCGGCGGCGGTGGGGGTCGCACCCGGGTCCGCGCACGCGCAGCAGGCTGGTGCCCCCCCACCCACCCACCGCCGGCCGCCGCGCCGTTGCCCTCTCTGCGGCCCGACCCTGCGGGGCACCCTCGGGGACCCACAGCCTCCGAGAGTGCAGTGGGCGCGGAGCGCGGAGGCCCCGGGGGACCGCGACGTGAGGGTCAGCGCGGTCCCCCGGGGCCTCCGCCCCTCACCCGGCCTTGCGCGCTCCCCGCCGCCGGAGAGCCTGGGTACCGCACCCCAGGGCCCGGCGCAGCCACGCGCAACCCGCCCGGGTAAGGGGCGCCCACGCCTGGGCCGCCGGGGACGCGCTCCCGCAGGGGCGCGCGAGGGACTGGGCCTCGGGACCCCCACCCCCGGGACGCCTCCGTCCCTAGCCCGGACCGCGCCCTGAAAGAGGTCGCCCCTCCAGCCCGTGGGGTGGGAGGAGGGACGGGGCACCTCTGGGGCGGGGCAGGGACCCGGGCCCCTCCGCACCCGCGAAGCCGGGAAAGCGATCCCCGAAGGCCCGGAGTCTCTCAGGGCCAATCAGGCCACGTTTCTGGCTTTGGTTTTGGTGACACATCAGTGTGTGACTTTTGGCTTCAGTGTCTGAAGACGTTCAAACAGTGGAGAGACCTAACCCTCACAGAGCTGCCCGTCACCACGGATCAATTTACATAAACGAATTTTCTCATGGTTCAAGCCCATAAAAATAAAAGCAGGTTTGGAACTGATTCTGGACTCTGTCTCACATAATAAATCATATTTATCTAATGACACCTGCACCATTGGGAAAAGAGACTGTCCCATCCATCTCATTAAGAGATGCAGTCCAACAGAAATTTAACTTTTATGTATAGAAAAACATATTCTGCAATTTTAATTTATTTATGCTGGTTTGATCAATTTAATAATTCAATTTAATATTCAATCCAGAATAAATATTTTAAATACTGACAGCCTTAGAGTCACAGGAAATAAAATGTTTTAAATCTAAATTATGGTTCAAATAGTAATATTTCTAGACCTGGTCTAACTAAAAGAATTTACTCGATGAGCATTTTTAAGACATAGATTAATATTTTTTAAAGTTTGAATAATTGATATCCCTGTTTTTGTTACAGACATATGCGTGGGTGATCGGTGAATTACTTTCAAACATAAAAATATTTCTTATTAAAATAAAGTTCTGTGGAAGAAATGAAACAGAACCCAGAGGTAGAGGAGAAAAGAATCAAAAAGAACCTGCACTTATATGTGTTCACATTCTACGTTATTGGACACACTTAA